TGCTGAATTATGGGGCGCCAAGTCGACGGGGCCCCCCGCGCTCGATGAAGGTTCGAAAGGTATTTGTAGCCCCCTCCCTTTCTTGCAACCCGAATTTCTCAGGATGATCTCCTCCAGGTACTCCCCCAGGACTGCTTTTGGGCTCGACGGTTTCCACATGAAACACTACTCCTGGATGACCGACGATTGCTTGTACGTCGTGGGCCTAATGCTGGCCATCATGGAAATGACCTCCTCACTCCCCTTCCAGATCCAGCTGGTTCAGCTGGCGCTCATCATGAAGCCGCACGGCGGCTGGAGGCCGATTGGCCTGTTCTGCAGCATGTACAGATTGTGGGGGAAAGCGAGAAGGGTGATAGCACAGCAGTGGGAATTGGAGCATCCTCGAGCTTATTTCGCTGGCCAGTCTTTTGCTTCGGCCAGTGACGTCGCGTGGCGTCAAGGAGTCAGGGCTGAATGCTCCTATCGTCGTGGTTTGGTGGCGGCCACGATTCTTTGGGACTTGTCCAAGTTTTACGAAACCATCGACCTCGGGCTTTTGGAACAGCGTTGCGTGCAACACGGGGTCCATGTGGCCTTATATCGTCTCTCGATCGCGGCCTACCGAGGGGCCCGGTTTATTTGCATGGCTGGGTACGTCTCGGGCCCGCTGATGGCGGCTCGAGGGGTTATCGCGGGTTGTTCGTTAGCCACGACATGGGTCAAGGTCTACATGATCACCCCTCTCGACTCCTTGAAGCTCGGGCCTAGCGTCCAGCTGGACCAGTACATCGATGATAGCGGGCTGTCTGCGGTGGGCTCCAAGGCCCAGGTCGTGCATGATTTAAAGGAAGCCTCGCAGGGCCTGCACGACGCTCTCACCTTGGACATGAAATGCAAGGTGGCGCCTGATAAGGCCTCTTTTGTCTGCTCATCTGCTGAGGTCTCTTCGCAGCTTCGTCAATTCCTGGGGCCCCTCGCTGGGCCGATCACGGACAGTGCCGTGAACCTGGGGATCGACGATGCTGCTGGGAGACCCAGACGAGCCGCCAGGAGAGGCCACAAGTTTAGGGTCCGCGTGGACACCCTGAAAGCTTCTACAAAGAAGCTCGTCAAGCTGAGTTGCAGCCTCGGTAAGTATTGTAAGCGTATTTGGGTCTCTGGGACTTTGCCTGGGGTTCTCTACGGGGCGGAGATCCATGGGCTTTCGGACTTCGAGTTGGCGAAGATCCGTCGTGAAGCGGGGCGCGTTCTGAGACCTGGTGCGGGGGGGCGTTCGCTGACCGCCACCCTCCTTCTGAACGATGACCCGACTTGGGTGGGGGCTGTGGCCCCCGTGGTTAGGTACGCCAAAGAAATATGGGCGCTCCAGACGGGTGCCTATCCCTACACGATCCCTTGGGACCAGTTGAGACTCAGCTGGGAGACCGTGTTCGCGGCGGCGGAACCTAGGTGGCGCGACGTCGGGGGACCCATTAGCGCCATGCGTCTTTCCCTTATTCGCATCAAGTGGTCTATGTCAGATTTCGTCACGATCGTGAACGATTTCGGGGAGACGATATTGCTGACGAGCGTGTCCCCAGCTATGCTGAAGAAAATGTTGCAGCAGGCCTGTCGGCGTGCCCTGGAGCGTGAGGCTTCGGCTAAGCAGGGCCTGTCTTGCGATCGATTGTGTTTCGACATCGTCCGATCTCGCCTCCGATCGTCGCGGGTCACCTCCCAGGAACGTGGATCGATCAGGAGCTTGACTTGCGAAGCGCTCTGGACTCGCGATCGGGCGATCAAGGTCGGGCACCGCGGTCTCGAGGATCGATGCGAGCTCTGCGGTTTCACTGGCGATTCGACCTTCCATCGACTCTGGCGCTGCCCTGCCGTCGCCTCCACGAGAGAGGAGACCGTTTCACAGAGCTTGATTGATGAAGCCGCTGACGCGGACCTGGCCGACCCCGAAGTTGCTCTGCTTTTCACCAGGGGTGTCTTTCCGCATCCTGGAGACGTCTTCCCTCGGCCGTCTCGGGAGTTTTTGGATTGTGAATTTCAGGCCAGATGTGAATGGGTTGAGCCTCCCCAGGACGGTGGCACCTTTGATGGCGATATCTTCCTTGACGGTAGCTGCTTCCGTCATGAGATTGCCGAGCTCTCGCGTGCTGGATATGGGCTCGTTAAGGTCGACTCTTCGGGTGACAGGGTGTGCCACATCTATGGGCCTATCCACGCCCCTTTCCTCCAGACCTCCCAGTGTGCCGAATTCGCTGCCCTGGCCCGCGGCGGAGTGGAGGTCATGAGTGACGCGAGCCAAGGGCCCGTCGCCGAGATCGGCGAGGACCGACATCCTGGGCAGGAGCAGCCTCGCCTGTCAACTTTTTATAGCGACTGCTTGAACGTGGTCTCTGCTTGTGCTGGGGACAAGAGTTCGCAGCTGAGCTATCGCCGCCCGTTCGCGGGGCTGATGATGATGTATCGTCTTGGGGTGTCGTCGGTCCAGTCGGTCGTCAAAGTCGATGCCCACAAAGACCCGCACGAAGCGGGCATATCCTCCCTGGAGCGCTGGAGGCGCCTCGGGAATGACCTGGCGGATCGTGCCGCCAAGCAGGGTGCTGGACTCCACCCCCGTCCGTCGGAGGCCGAGGAGAGCCGGCTGCAATGGCAAATTAAGATAGCCAAGGCGGTCTGCAAGCTCGCAGCGAAGCTGCTGCCAGCGTGGCCGCCGTTGGATTTGACCGACTGCTACTGGGAGCGCCCTCCCGTCGAACCTGCTCCTCCCTCGCGGCCCCATGCTTGGACGTGGGAGAAGCGCGAGGGGTATTTCGGATTTGCTTTCTGGCGTTGCCAGCACTGTTTGATCGTGCGCAAAGGACGCTCGATACCGCCGCCAGGTTCTTGCTCGAATGAATCGAAGCTGGACGGCCCATCCCTGAGAGCGCTCGGGCACCATGCCATATCGCTGCTCGTTTCTGATGGCTCCTTCCTGACTGTCTGTCTTAGGTGTCATTCCTACGGCTCGCTGGGTTATATTCGGGGCTTAGCTCAGCGATGTCAGCCACCGACGCGTAAGAAGACCGAGACTTTCAATGCTATTTGTAAGGGTCGGCATCCGTCGAAATCCGAGCTTCGTGTGGAGCCCGCGCCGTGGCGTTAGTTTTTTCCCGCTGTTTCCACGGCACTGCGGGACTGGCAGCCGTCTCGGCGTGAGTCCCCCCGCAGTTGCCGTGACGTCAGCGGTGGGGCAGGGCTGGTGGCGAAAGTGGCAGGAGGCGCCACCCAGCCCTGCCCCCCCCTCTGGGGGGAGGCGCCGTCCCCCCAGAGAGTGTGGCTTGGCAGTAGTGGATGTCAAAAAAAATCATCCTCCTCCTCCTCCTCCTCCTCTCCTCCTCCTCCCCTTCCTCCTCCTCCTCCTCCTCCTCATCCTCCTCCTCCTGCTACTCCCGCTCCTGCTCCTCATCCTCATCCTCATCCTCCTCATTTTCCTCCTCCTTCTGCTCCTCCTCCTCCGTATCGTTCTCCTCCTCCTCCTCCTGCCTCCTGCTCCTCCTGCTCCTCCTGCTCCTCCTCCTCCTCCTCCTCCTCCTCCTCCTCCTCCTCCTCCTCCTCCGCCTCCTCCTCCTCCTCCTCCTCCTCCCTCTCAACCTCCACCCTTCTCATCCCTCCGCCCTCATTTGCCTCCTGCTTCAAAAACCTGCTCCCCGGCGATGCCCAAGGGCGCGTCCTGACCGCATTTCACGGCAGATCTAGCCCTCGACGTCCCTCCTCCCTCCACTCGTCGACACCCTCACCTCTCCGACGTCGCACAAAAGCCCCGACCCTCGATGTCCCTCCTCCCTCCACTCTTCGGCACCCTCCCCTCTCCGTCGTCGCAAGCTGTTCGGGACGCGTCGGGGCCGCAGCGGGTCTGGACTCCTTCCTCAGGGCCCGCTTCTCGACCTCACGGCCCTGGGGCCCAGCAGTTTCTTGTATACCGCAGCGCCACACTCTCATGCTGGAGAGTCAGCGTGGTGAGCGAATCTGGCATTCATGAGTACACTGCTTCTGTTGGCGCGCGAAGGCTGATTCCCTTACCGAGGCCTGGCGAGGGCCCCTGGGAGTCTCAGGTAAAAGGCAGAGACCCTGAGCTGTGGCCTGTTACGGCTCGAGGGGCCCTCCCGCGTCGGCGCTGCCCAGCTTCACAAGAGAAAGAGGGACCTCCGCCATGGGCCGACCCCTGGGCGGTGGCACCCCTGAGCGTCGCCCTGCACTGTATGACGTTCGGCCGCGCCACCGCCCAGGGGGGATGGGGTCCAGACCTCTGGGGGTCCACTTCGCGACACAGCACAACGTCGGGGGCTGGTCGGGGTGGCAAGGGGGTCTGGGCCAAGGCATCTGACGGGCCAAGGCATCCGACGGGCAACCTCCCCTTGGGGGCTGGCTTCCCGCCCCGGGTCCACAGCTGTTGGCCCTGGGGGTCCGAGAACGGCACCCGGAGACCGACAAGAGGGAGCAAGCGCCCAGTTGCAAAACGACCAAACAAATCCTTCCGACGGCCAGGGTCTGCCGTCCCTCCCTCGCTGGCCTGGTGGTGACTCTCCAGACGGTGAGACGCGCCCCTTCAGCACTGGATTTTGGGTGGCTGCACTTCTCTTCGTATCCTCTCTAGGCCGACTGCATGCGCTCCTGGTTTTCTACACTGTCGTTTCTAGCGTTTCGCGCTCGCCGCCCTCTCGGTCCTGTGCATTGGGCCGCCTGGGCAGCCTGGGGCTCAGGGCTGGGCCTCCCCCTCGCTGGGAGTGGCGCCAGCAGCTTGGAGTGTATCCCATGGGTTCTCGGGGTGAGAGCCTTCTGGAAGACGGCGCGCCGAATGCTGCAATGCGTCGCATGGGGGAAACGGGTCCTGGACCCCGGGGCCGTCCCTTGGAGGGCTCCGTCCTGACAGTTCCGGCGCCCTTGGAGGGCTCCGAGAGCCCGAAAACTGCGACAAGCGATGCTCGGGATCCGCCTCCCCCACGGCGGAGTGCCCAGTCCGACCGACCGCCCGCCCCGCCGGAGAGGCGCGAGTTCCCCCAGAACCGGCTGCTGTCGCAGCCCGCGCTGCAGGCGGAGCTCGTCCTCCCCGGCCAGCGCGCGCCTCGGCCGCTCCAGCTGCGGGGGGGGGGGGCAGCGGGGAGGGCGGAGGGCGGAGGGAGGAGGATACGGTACGGGGCCCAAGCATCTACACCACCGCCACCTCCCTCACCCCCTCCCTCTCCCAGGGAGGGAAGAGAGGAAGGGGAGGATAGAGGTGGGAGGAGGAACCGACGTGGTGGTGGTGTATGTTCTGGGGGCCCGCAGAGAAGAGCCGACCCTGACGGGCAACGTCGACCCGCTTCTCTAGAAGACCCAGATCTGGGGCCTATGTCAAATACTTCTCTATTGACAATAGAGAAGATTATTGGGCACACGAGCGTCTGTGGGCACACTTGGCACCGTGACGTCCACAGACGCTTTCGTGGCGGGTGCGTTTTTGTGGACAACGCGGCCGTTGCGTTCGGCACAGTATTTACATGGTCGGAGAAAGGGTAGATCCGTCTACGTTTTGTGCCTGCTCTAGAGCAGGCCCCACATGGTCCTCCAAAGCCGGCCGCCGCTACACCTTCCACACTTTCCGACCAGAGGTGGCTCATTTAGTGATCGTCTGGAGGGACAGAGACCGCATACACATGATTTTTGGGAGGGATCCGCGCGGACTTCTCGGATCGGCGCTTAGAAGCTTGCAGGCACCTTGTCTTGAAGAAGCTCCCCGCCTTCTCATAAGGCCGCACACTCTTTGCGTCATCGCCGTGCGTGCGCCACCAAGCTCAGGATGTGGTCCTCTGTAAGCATGTTTTCTCTGCCTGCATTGACTGCTATGTTTGCCTGTCTGTGTTGTATTGTTTTCCCGCGGCTGCTGCTATGGCACGCTGGCTAAGGCGATCATCACATGTTCCGAGAAGGAGCCGTCCTCCATCTTTGGAGTCTTCGCGAGCTTCGAGCACATTGATGCTGAAGCTGCCGGTCCCTGCGAGGGTGCGCGGAGCTGAGGCGACTACCCTTATGGTGAGAACCACCCACCCTCCACCCTGGCAGCTGATGCAAGCTCTGAGAACGGGTGAGCGTGGCGTGAAGGCGTTGCAACAGAGCGTTGAGAACGCCCCGTCCGCCATCATTTTGCAACAATCAATCACTGACGCCGTGTCTGCACGACACATCGGCGAAAGCAGTGCCGCTGGCCGGAGGCGTGTGTCCGCCATGGCATAGGGCAAGGGCAGTTCACAACCTGACGGCCCAGCGTTTGGCTGGTGGAAGAAACTGGCTGCCATAGCCTATGCGGGAGGGGGGAGAGGAGGAGGAGGAGGAGGAGGAGGAGGAGGAGGAGGAGGAGGAGGAGGAGGAGGAGGAGGAGGAGGAGGAGGAGGAGGAGAAGGGGGGGGGATGGACCAACTCCCTTCCTTTAGGGTGTCTCAGAGCCTGCTGGCCTTGATACATTAAATGATAGCGTTGCGCCAGGCAACTAACCTCTAGTAGCGTGGGTTAAAATTCTCGGGCGAAAGACACATCGCTAGCTCGCTCTCTGACGCGGCGGGGGCAGGGGCAGGGAGGGAGGGGCGGGAAGGGACGACGGGGCACGAGGGGAAGGAGGACGGAGGATGCCCCTGATCGCCGAGAGCGCTTGCGCTCTGACCACCGAGCCCCAGTTCAATCGAGGCCGGCCTCTTCCCCTCTGACAACGCAAGTCGGTTGGCTCGACTGTACAAGTTTGAAAGACTGCACGGCGGAGGTGCGACTCTGGCATCGCCGCGATTCTGCCAAACATAAGAAGCTGCCCGAACAACATGTATTGGCTCAGTTGTGGTTCGTGTGCTCGTCGCCGTACTTCTACGTTCGTCACCGGTGAGATCATCGAGCGTGGAATGCCTAATGTTTGCCGGATGCACTGAGCATGAAACGCGTCGAGCTTGTCCTGGTCGGCCTTACTCAGGCAGAGCGTCTCGATGCCATAAGTTCACTTGCTGACGATGAGAGCGCGGAGCAGTGTGATCTTGTGTGTCCGTGAGATGTTCGCGTGCCTCCACACGAGTTTCAATTTCTGGAAGGCTGACCTTGCTTCCCCGATCCGTCTTGCAACCGCTGTGCCAGTGCCTCCATCAGCGCACACCAATCCACCCAGATACACTGCGGATGCGACTGGTTTCACTGGCACCCCCTCTGCTGTCAGGATGTCAGTGACATGTCTAACTTACAGATGTAAAGTCTTCGACCAGTTTGGTGCGAGACCGTACTCGCGAGCTCTCAACACGAGGCAGTTCAAGAAGCACTGCGCTCTCGGGATATCATCGGATACTATCGCCGTGTCGTCTGCGAAGGTGACATCGAAGCAAACGCCGTCGAGAGGCGTCGGGCCGAGCAGGGTGGCCACGTCAGCTTCGACGTCCGTCATGAGAACGGTCGTCATGATCATCAACAAATGGGAGCTGAGTGGGCACCCTTGCGCGATGCCTGCGCCGACTGAACGAACTCCAGAGCACCCCTGCCCGTCTGCCATCTCGAACGTGCGGTTCGAGCAAATGCTGGCAGCCATTTCCGCGGAAGCCTGCGGGATGCCGGAACGAGCCAACGCTGCCTGGAGCGCCGCCGGGTCGACCCTATCAACGGCTTTCGACCAGTCTTAGAGGACGGCCGACAGTTTGCCGTCCTTGGTCGCCCACGCCCTTTCGATAGCCCTCTGGAGGAGGAAGATCGCGTCCGTGGAACGTCTCTGCTCCCGGAAAAGATATAAGTGTCCCTCAGCTTCTCCTCCACCTCTTCTGTTGCCATGCTGTTCAAGAAGAGGCTCGCAAGAACTTTGTAGCTGGCGGAGAGAAGGGAGATCGGCCAGTAGTTCTGCGGCAAGGACTCGTCGCCTTTTTTGAATATGGCCGTCACTGAGCAGTGATTCCATGATTGTGGAATTGACCGGCTGGTCCAGCACGCGTTGCAGAGATCGAGGAGGGTTTGGCAGGCTTGGTCACAGTGACGTACGTCGGGCCTTCCAGAATTCGGGTGGGATGCTGTCAGGGCCAGCTGCCTTGCCCTCCTTGAGCTTTGACAAGACCGCCACCAGCTCCGCTGTGGAGAACTCTTCCAGGCTCACAAGGATTGTCTCGTTCAGCCGGCGTCCACGCGGAAGCGCGCAGTCTCCAGGAGGAGCAATCCACTGCACGGTTTCGAAATACGTCGCTATAGCGTTATAGCACCCGCACGCTTGTCGCTGTCCACCAGAATGCCGCCTTCGTCCCGCAAGCGGCCTTGGCACTTCCTGCCTCTGCTGCGGAAGCGTTTTAAACTTCCTGAGTCGCCTCCTGTGAGCATCTGGTCTATCCCTTCGGTCCTTCTTCGCAGACGATTTGACTTCTTCGCCAAGTGCCTCTCCAGCATGGTCTGCCCCGCTTTCCGGGCTTGGTTGCGTAGCTCAATTTGGTTCAGCGTGCGCGGCTGTATCCATGGGCGGCTGAGGCGTGCGGCTTTGCTCTCAACGCTTGCGCTGGCGGCCTCGTGCATGCATTTCTCGATGCGCGCCGCCTTTGGGTCGCTGCCCGCGCCTACCAGCTGGGAGCTCGCTGCACGGGACGTAAACTCGGCGGCAAAGCGGGTTGCCACGCTCGGGGATCGCCAAGACGCCTTGTCTATGGCCGGCCCATTGGATTTTGATGGAGTCCTGGGGATCTAGATGTCCAGCTCCACGATGACCAAAAAGTGATGTGAGGTGAAGCCGATACTCTTGTCTGAGTAAATCGCACAGGCTGCCTCTTGCCAGTCCCGCTGCACCAAGACCTGGTCAATCTCCGCGACATTTCGTGTGGTCAGTTCTGATGCGGCCGTTGCTCCGATATCGAAATACGTCACGCGCTGCTCGAGTGGTCTGTCCAGAAAAGTGTTCGCGATCACAAGGCTACGCGCTGAGCAGTGCTCAACCAACATGTGTTGATTACTCGGTGGCCCTGGACAAGCGCGCTGGTCGCCAAAGGCGAACGGCCCGACGACCTCAGTCGCAGAAGACTGGGGGACCAAACCGTGCATTGAAGTCTCCCAGCGTGATCACGGGCCCATGTGGCTTTGTATTTTCTGCTAGCAAGGCTAAATTATGGAAGAAATTGTGTCGAACCTCAAAGTCATGGCCAGACTATTGTGCGTAAGCGCAAATAAATGACACCGACCCTCCTGGGGCCCTGATTCTAAGACTGGCCAGCCGGTTGCTGTACTGAACGAAGCTCATAACAGCGTGCCGCGCCCACGGCGCCACGACGAAACCCACCCCAGCATACTCTCGTTCATCTTCGGGCCCCCCTGATAGTACCACCAGGCACCCCTCATACAGGAAGAACGGCGCTGCGGAGATGTGCGTCTCCTGGAGAGCTAGTATCGCAAGCCTCCTTCCCTTCACAATGGAGATATTGTAATCTAGTGCAGCTTCGTACACTCGGTGTCGAGACGGATGCCTTCGACGTTCCAGGTGGCGACTTTGGTAACGTGTACGGGGTATCGTGTCCGCTGGTCCCTAAACTGACCGTGCCTCCCTTTCTGTGGTACGAATTCTGGTGGAACATCTTGGCAATGAGGCACATGTTGTGCAGCCCAGGGACGTTGGAGAAGTTGGGGCGGTCTGTGATCTGGGTCGAGGGGAGGAGGTCTGGGCGAGGAATAATTGTGTGATGAAAAAGGTTGTGAAACTGATGGTGGAACGACTGGCTCCCTGTATCGAGATGTAGCTTCTTCCTCCCAGCTCTCACGATCATAATTGGGACCAGGTCTAGTCGAGCCGATGTGTCGTTACCCCTATCCGCGGTGGCCCGCGGATTTGCCTTTACCTTTCTCTGCGCCCTTGGTGCCCCCACTTGGTCCGGCGAGAAGCTTTTAAGACGCATGTGCACGCCGCCAAGGCCAGAGCTCATTGAGAACGACCCGCCTTCAAAGCTCATAACTATTAGACTATTAGTTCTGAGGAGGTCCAAGGCCCAGCATCGGCCCGCCCTGCCGACACGTCCGGAGGTCAGACGAGGCGAAGTGATGGTTTGGAGGCACGTCCAGGCCTCCAGCACAGTGTTCGAGGCCTGAGGCAGGAACGGAGCCGACCAAGACAGCCATAGTCGAAGCATCAGGGGCTCGGCCACCATCGCGCCTGGGGGCAGGAGGAGGAGGTGGAGGAGGTGCAGTTGTAGCCTCCCCTCCACTTTGCACTGCCGCGGACTTGGTTACTCCTGCCCCGTAGGGCCACGATTATTTTCTCTGCGGCTTACTTTAATTGCTCCCGTCCGCAGCATAATTTGTTCGCTCACTCCACCTGAGTCGGCGTCCATTTTTTCTGTACGCAACAGGCTTGGCCCTAATGTCTGCCTAACGTAAATAGGAGGATGCAGTGGCGCGGCACGCGTGGCGGCGCCCGATGGTGAGTGAGTGTCGGGTGGCCTGCTGAGGGCGCGCCCCCGAGTTCCATGCGCAGGTGGCGAGGATCTGCGAGGACTTGACGGGATGCGCAGTGCAGTGCAGGGGGAGGAGGCGGTGGAAGGAGGAGGAGGAGGAGGAGGAGGAGGAGGAGGAGGAGGAGGAGGAGGAGGAGGAGGAGGAGGAGGAGGGAGGAGGAGGAGGAGGAGGAGGAGGAGGAGGAGGAGGAGGAGGAGGAGGAGGAGGGGGGGGGGGGGGGGGGGGAGGAGGAGGAGGTGGAGGAGGAGGAGGAGGAGGAGGCGGAGGAGGAGGAGGAGGGCGCCCCCCCCCCCTGCCCGAAAGGAGGGGGGCCTCCCCATGTGAGAGGGAGAGCCCCTCCGTGGCCGAGGTCCACCGCCCCCCCGGCGCAGACGCGGGCCACCTACCCGGAGAGCGCACGCCCGGCGGAGCCCGGCGGCACACGGGGAAGTTGACTGTCAATTCGGGGGCGGCAAAAAGAGGGGTGATGACTAAGGTGGGGTGGATATCATGGCGGGGGCCATGATATTTCCCCAGATCTCATGGCGCCTCTTCTTATTTCATTACGTTCCTGGTCCCCCCGCTGGGCCGCGCACATTCCGCTGGTCATGATTTGCACCCCCCCTCTTGGACACCCCCTCTTGGCCGCTCCCGATCAATGTTTAGGCCTCCCAGATGGGGTCCGTGCCGATGGGGTCGGAGGATCGCTCCGCATCGACGATGCATCGACGATGCGGCTTGAGATGGAGGCAGAGTTCCCCCACGCCGATGGCGTCGATGCATCGCCGATGTCGCCGATGCATCGGCGATGCATTGTCGATGCGGCGCGATCCGCCGACCCCACCTACTCGGACCCCATTTGGGCAGCCGACTCATCCAGTCATCCAGGTTCCCAGACCTCTGGCGCATTGACCAGATCAAGGCACGGGTGGCTCGCCGTTTTCTGTCCTGGGGGCCTTCGGCGAGCCTCGGGACCGTCAACGAGACTAGTTGGGGCGAAGGTCTCCCCCTGGGGAAGCAGTCCAGACTACTGGGGGCCCCTCTCTTGAACAGAAACATGGACTCCCGGTGCTGACAAGCTCAGAAGTTTCGGACGCTTTCGCGTGTCACCACGAGGGGGGTCACCATGTCATCCTGAGGATCGAAATTCAAGGATGGAAGTTCGAGAAGGTTTTTGGACGTTTGTTTTTTTGTTTGTTTGTGGGGCTCTAGAGTGCTCTGGGGGGGGGGAGCACTTCCTGCCAAAAATGGGGTTTCCTCGAGGAAGTGGCAACCCGCCTGGTGGTGACCATCCTTGGCACTGCCTGGTATCCTGGTTCTGGCAACTTTGCAGTCGAGAGCTTGTGCTTAGCGTGTCGCGCTGGCGGTCGGGAATTCAGCACGTGTTCTTGCGTTTTCGTGTATTCCTGAAGGTCATCCTGCCTCGGGCTGCGTTCCAGCAGCTGCGCCTCGCTGAGAGCGTTCGGGGGGTGCCCGGATCGTCCCCACCAGGCGCTGGAGAGCCGAGTGATGGCCCCCAAACACCACACCGGTTCTGGCCCACCACTCTACGGCGCGGCACGCCGTCCTGGTCCCCAGGCGTCAGCGTCCCGAGCCGCTCCCAGCCTTCCGCCCCGCGGAGCGGAGCGACACGCTATCCGCTCGCAGGGCATGGCGTGTCGCCGAGGCCGCCGCCGCGACACGCTAAGCAAACCTCCTCGACCGCACTTGAATGGAAGGACTGAGGACTACATGTGATGAGTGTGCCCTTTCTTTTACCTCTCCGCGGCCGCGTCTCTTGCTCCTTCCGCGACTCATCGTGTGCGCAAGTAACGTTTGCTTCCGTGGCACGGTAGCCATTTCCGCTGCGGTGCGATCGATCTCACCAACAAATTCACTTGAATACCATGTGCTCCCCCCCGCCCCCCGCACTCCCCACCCCCTCCCCCGGCGCTGTTGCATTGGGCCGAATGTGCTTGCAATTGACTTGACTGTCGACCTGCGTGGCTTCGGTTTTCCTCCAGGGGCTCGCATGGCCCCCTCCCTATGCGAGCAAGTTCGCCAGAGACAGAGAAGTCTGGCCTCGTGGAGCTCCAGTGAACGGGTCTCGCCTTCGGCGCATCTCGTCGTCGGCGAAACCTTGACCTCCGACATATCGCCTCTTTAGTCGGTGCGTGTTCCCTGCACTTGGGGCCTGCTGCGGCTCCAAGGCTATACAAAATGCATCCGCAGGCCCAGTGCCGATCGACCCGGCTCGAAGAATTTCGCACACGATACGGATCGAGGGTTCCTAGCCACAGGCGGCGAGCACATCCGTATCGATGCACTCGCGGTCTGGTCACCGAGGCGCGATTCCACGAGCGCCCCTTCCGCGCGGAGCGTCCACGCAGGGCCGCCCTGTGTCCGCGGGGTCGCGACCGATGGCCAGAGGAGCGAGATGTCATGACGAGGACACGTTCCCAAGATGTTCGAGCTGACCACCAGTTCCGCGATTCCCCCTCCTCCTCCTCCTCCTCCTCCTCCTCCTCCTCCTCCTCCTCCTCCTCCTCGTCCTCCTCCCCCTCCGCCTCCTCCTCCTCCTCCTCCTCGTCCTCCTCCTCGTCCTCCTCCTCCTCCTCGTCCTCCTCCTCCTCCTGCTCCCTGCTGGCCTGCCCCTGCTGGCCAGCGCCGCCACCCGGGGGGCCCCCCAGGAGCGGTCGCTGGGCTCGGCCCCCGCGGAGGCCGCCCAGGCCTTCCACGACGAGGGCCCCCCGCACGCGGAGGCCGTGGGCACCCACGCGGGGCGCCCGGATCGATGTCGGTTCGGTGGCGGTTCGGCTGCGAGCTCGGCGACCAGCACTGGTTCCGGCAGCAGGGAGAGTGGCAGGTTCGAGGAGGTCTTTCTCCTTTTTCGGCCTCTGGGGGCCGTTTGCGGGTCCGGGGACCTCCAGAAGCGGGTCGGGGGCGAAAAATTGCACCTGATGGACCCCAGGAGGGGCCAGGGATTGATTTTGAGCGACCCCAGGCCTGCAGGTCCAGGCGACGCAAGGGTATTGCATCGGGCACCTCTGCTGGGATGCACCGGGCTGCGGGCAGCTTCCGAATGCTGACCCCCCAGGCAGCGTTCAAGACATCTGACCTGGAGGGAGGGTTCGCATGCGGTTGCCCACTTCGATGTCGACTGGCCCGAATCGGATCCGAGAATCCGTCTGTTCAAAAGCCCAGGTCTCAGACGATCTGTGTTTTTTGGTGCCGGTGTTGTTCCTCGGTTTCGGCCTCCAGGGTCCTCTTTCGGGCCCGGGGACATTCGATAACGGATCCAGAGTGAGAAACCACACCCTGGGAAGCGGTCGGGAGATCTATGGCCGCAGATCGAAACACACACACACACACACACATGTACATACACACATCGTGGGATGCTTGGGATCTCCGAGATTCCGACGGTTCAAGGATGGGGCTTTCAGGGATGTGGCCTTGAGGAAAGACAAGGCATCCCAAGCTGAACCTTCAGGGGTTGATGCCACTCGTCCTTAGAACCCCATTCCTCAGGGCCCCATGTTTAAAGCGCCGAATGTTCTGGCGATCCTGTGCGTCCCGATGCTCGCATGGTGCTGTTGTGCATTCTGGCGCGGCCGACCTCGCACGACTTCGACCCCGTGACTTGGGCGCTGTCGGTCTTGCTCGCTGTCGATCTTCGGCGCCGTCAGCAAGGAAGCAGGGGCGAAACATATTGTCCCCAGGAAGCTGCCGAGGCCTGTGGGGCCGCAGATAGGAAAAACACGTCGAGCGTCGGATGTAGAGTGGCTCTTCGCTGGAGCGAACATTTGTGCGGGCCACCAGGGGTCCCGCCAGCACTGTCTTGCGCGCTCGAACCATCGTCATCCCACTGACGCAGCGCCCCCAGAAGCGGTGAAGCGCTCGCGAGTGCGGCTACGAGCAGTCGGCTTCGACGCCGCACGAGCGATGCTACGCGGAGCAGATCCAGATCAAGCAGGTGCATCGCTCTGAAGCGAATTGGCCCGCGGTGGCCAATCTTGGGCAGGGGGGGGGCGCCAGCGGCTGGGGGCACGAGTTTGACCAGCTCATCGAGGGAAACACCTTTACCAGTGGCGCGGACCGGGAGGCGGTGCAGATGCTCTTTCGCCAGCTGAGCCGCGCGCAGCTGGGCGGAGTGACGGAGCTGTCTTCGGGATGCCGCCCCCGAGCCCCCGAACAGGCCGCAGGGCTCGGCGGCTGCCTGCGGCTATGCGCCCGAAGCTGACACCGACGGGCTGCGAGATCGGCCGCGCGGGCACCCAGTTTCTGGCGGGGGCTCTGCCCTCCGTGCCCTGCGGGAGCTGCACCTGGGCGGCAACGCCCTCGGCGACGCGGGCGCCCAGGCGCTGGCGGGGGCGCTGCCCTCCCCGCACCGCCTGGAGGAGCTGCCCTTGCATTATGTCGGGCGCGTCCCTCTCCAGGAGGAATGTTCAAACATAGTCGAAAAGTGGTCTGGAAACGATGTTTTAAAACTATTCTTGATAATTTGGGGATGTGTTGGGACTATTTTGAATTTTCTTCCGAAGCCCGCCTGTAAGAGGACATGCCCGACCTAACCCTTGCAGGACATCAGCATCGGCAGCGACGGGGTGGAGGCCCTGGCGGGCCCTCCGAGCTCGCCCTGCAGAGGCTGGACATGGTGGGCAACGGCATGGGCGAGCGGGCAGAGGCGGCGCTGCGGACCGCCCGCCTGGGCCGGGCCGAGGCCGTTCCTGGTATGAAGCTCTGCGCCAGCGGCGCCTGGCCGGGGTTCAGGGCACCGATAGGACTGCCCCCCTCCGCGGTGCGCGCCCCCCTGGGCTGCGGCCAGTGGGGGGCCCTGGTCGTGCCGCGCCGGGTGCCATGCCGAGGCCGTGTTCATCGGCAGTGTGGCGGGCCGCACGGCAGTGCGCAGACTGCCAGCGACACGCAGCGCGACGCCCAGGATTACGATCGGGAGCAGCAGCGCGTCTTCGGCACCCAGGAGAGAGGAACGGTGCAGTGCGGCGAGCGGGGCGACTGGGAGCATCGTGGCGGACTTCGGCGGAGCACCGCGCGACGCCTGGCAGCACCACAGGGTGCAGCACGGCTCTGTCGTCCTGGGCTGGGACGTGTTGTGCTTCGAGATGCGCAACTGTGAACCGCCAGCGGTGGGAAGTTGTTGTCCCCACTCGTTTCCTCTGCCTCTTCCTCTTCGTCTTCGTCCAATGTCTAAGATTAGTATGGTTCTTATTGCTCATGTTGTTATTAGTGCTAGTTGTAGTCGTAGTATCATCATTATTATTCGTAGTCGCTGTTTCTTGTGACTACCTTTCTTCAATCGGGGACCGCTACTTCCCCCCGCAGCGGGTGGGACGCTCTGCAAAACAACGTTGCGCGCCTGGATTTGGCACTGCACGTGCTTCGCCGTGTTCGGCCTCGGGGGGCCCTCGCCGGGCCCCAGACCGTCAACAGAACTGCCCTGGATGAAATTTCGGCCCTGGGGGGCAGTGTCGGGACTTCGGGGGGCCCCGTCTCGGAGAGAACAGTACATTGGATCTCTGGCAAACGGAGGGGGCGGACCGAGGAGAAGGACAGGGAGCAGGAGAAGGAGCAGAACGCTGAGGAAGGAGGAGGAGGAGGAGGAGGAGGAGGAGGAGGAGGAGGAGGAGGAGGAGGAGGAGGAGGAGGAGAGGGAGAAGGAGAGGACCGGGAAGAGGCGGAGGATGAGGAGAAGGAGAAGGAGGAGGAGGAGCAGACATTTATAGCGGCAGTGGGATCAGCAGGTTGAGCGGGAGCATGAGAAAGATGAGGGGCGATGATGTGGAGGGCGGATGTGGAGGGAGGAAAGGAGAATGAGGAGGAAAGGAGGAGGAGGGCGACGGAACAAGATAATGAATTATGAAGATGAAGGCGGAGGTGAAGGCAGGAGAAGGATGAGGAGGAGGGAGGAGGGCGAAGGAGGGTGGAGGTGGTGGACTTGGGTTGAGGATTGAGCTGCCTCCCCTCAGTCTAGCCTTCGGCGGTGAGCCCAGGGGGGAAGTGAGGGGGCGGGCCTTCTCAGAATGCTCGGAAGGCCTCCGGCCTTCTGAGAAGTTGTCCCAGCTTTCCCCGAAGACAGAGAAAGTCGTTCAAAGGCTCGATGGCTTCTGAGAAGCCCTGCCGCCTTCTGAGACGGCTGCCTCCCTCTCACTCCCCCTCCAGGCGCGCCGCCGAAGCCTTCCCCCCCGTTCCCCTTGACCTCCTCCCAGGGTTTCAACCCGATCGATCGGATTCGACATCGATTCTGGCGGGTCCGATCCGATTCGATTCCGATATTCCGGCGATCCGATGCGGTCCTATGCTTCAAATGCGCGGTTGTGCATCTTGATGTGGTCGCTCCGATTCGATTTCGATTCGGATCCGATGCAGCCCGATGTGATGCTCGTTCCGAATCGATCCGATTTCCCCATACGAGGTTGGCTGATCTTGCCTCCCCTGCCTCCTCCCACATCCCCCTGTCCGCCCCCCCCCCGCTTGAGCAAAGCTGGGATCGCTCTCCGGGGGAACAGCCGCGGGATCCGCGGAAATGCTCACATTGCGGACTTTGCACTGCTCCCCGCCCGCGCCGGTGCCGCGAAGTCCGAACGTATGTTTGTTCCGCTTGGTTCTCCCGTCCTTCCCCCTCCCCCCCAAGAGATCTAGGCACGAGCTGCCTGCGACGGATCGGCTTGCACTGTATACTGCAAGTGCGCCTTCGACATGCCAGTGGAGTTCCCCTCGCCGAGTAAAATCAAGACCCTTCCCCCTGCTCAAGCGATTCCCGAGGTCTTCTACCCCCAGGGCGCCAAGCACGTGGCGCCGCCGCCGAACCCGCCCCCTCTGGACACCCAGGTCCTCGTCGTCGTCGTCCTCCTCCTCCTCTTCCTCCTCCTCCTGCTCCTCCTCCTGCTCCTCCTCCCATCTGCTGGGCCACAGTCGACGGCCTCCTCCTCCTCCTCCTCCTCCTCCTCCTCCTCCTCCTCCTCCTCCTCCTCCTGCCGCCGCTGCCGCTCCACCCCGCTAAGCCGCACCCGACGGCTCCCTCCTCCCCACCATCCTCCCCCCATCCCTCGTTGTCCTCCCCCCGTGTCGTCCTCTCCCTTGGCTCACTGCTGCCCCCCGCCCCTGTCGTCCTCTCCCCCGCCCCCCTTGTCGTCCTCTGTCGTTCTCTCCTCTGTCGTCCTCTCCTCTGTCTCCCTGTCGTTCTCTCCTCTGTCGTCCTCTCCTCTGTCTCCTTGTCGTCCTCTCCTCTGTCATCCTCTGTCATCCTCTGTCGTCTCCCTTCTTGTCGTCCTCTCCCCGTGTCCGTCTCCGCCCTGGAGAGAAGGGCGCGCGTTTGGAAGCCGAGCTCGGCTCCCGGAAGCCACGGCCCGAGAGAACTCCGTGGCTTTTGGAGCCAGCTCCAACTTCGCAGGCACGCGGTCCTCTCTGCCGGCGGCGCGCCTAGTGGGGGGAGGAAGATGGGCGGGCGGGCGGGCGGTCTCCTCGGAAGGCCTCCTCTGAAGCCACAGGGGGGCTTCTCCGGAGGCCAGATACAGTCAACCCGCATGGTAAGGATGGGCAACCTTCCCGAGGGTACCCTTGCATCCTTGCCTCCTCGGTCCATCCTTAGCCACTTCTGTTGGCCGCGCCCCGCTCGAAAAGCTCCGAAATGGCCTTCCAAGGCCCCTGCAATTTCATCGCGCGTCCTTATGATACGGGTTGACTGTAGCTTCTGAGAAGCTCCGCCGCCTTTGAGAATGCCCGCCCCCCTCTCCAGGGATGCGTTGTCTTGGTTTGTGCCGCGCGGGGTCCGCGGAAGCTCTGGCCCTGTCTTCAGGCCTGCTTTTCAGCCCGGGTAGGCTTTGACGGTGCCGGGGCCTTGCGAGGGCCCCCCGAGTGCGGTCAACGGCGAACAATTGTCGTCCTGATGTTTCCACAATGTGTTGCCCCACGGCGCGCCGCCGATGCTGGGCACCCAGGTCCTGTACCCCCAGGGCGTCCGCCAGGGCGCGCCGCCGCCACCAAGAGGGCCACCTCCAGCGAGCGGGTCCCCGATGCCTCCCCGAACGGGGGGCAGGGGGATGTCTCAAGCGAGAGGAGCCGCACCACCAGGAGGGACCCTCTTGCAGAATGACAGGTCGGCTCGTGCAGCATTCCTGGCTTACTGGCGATCTTCTCCTTCACGCTACTCCAGATTTCGTAATAAAAGGGAGGGGGTCTGGACCCTCCTAGACAAGCCATTTCAGACCTCCCCCGTGGGAGAACCCTCCCAAACATCGTCCCCAGACCACCCCAGACCCTCCAAGATAGCCTGGAAGAGACCCCCCCGAAATGAGACCCCCCTCCCTTTATTACGAAATCGGGAGTACTGGGTGAGTCACGCCATGGTGAGGCTCAGTGGTTGCGCGCTCCTCTTCTCAAGGGCGTTCCCTAAACAGCCCTGCCCTGTCCGACCCCTTTGGGTGTGTTTACTGTAAACGACTTCGCGTGTCGGGGTGCTTCTCATGGGGGGGGGATGTTCTGCTCCCTTTCTTCCCCTTTCCTTCCGGAAGAAGAAGGAGGGGCCTTCCCCGGCGCCTCGCGCTGGTGGTGGTGGTGCCGCGTTTCGGACGGGGCCAGGACGAGAATGAATCCGTTCCAGGGCGTTCCGGAAGGCCCTCAGAGCGTTCCAGAACGCTCTGAGAAGGCCGCGGCGCCCGAGACTTCTCTCACGGCCGCCACATCTCAGAGATTCTCAGTGTGTTCTCACCCCATGCTCTCCTCGTCCTGGTTCCGTCTTAGCTCTTCCTTGCTCCTGCAGGTCCTGTACCCCCCGGGCGCGCGCGAGGGCGGGCCGCCGCCCGGCCCGGCCAGCCCGCCCGACGCCCGGGCGCTGGCCCCGTTGGGCTCCTCGGTGCTGCCCGCGGAGCGGCCCCGGACGCCCAAACCCTGAGCCTCCGAGACGGGGTCGGCAGATCGCTGCCGCATGGGTTCGGTGGCCCTCGATCTCCTCGCGTCGTGAAGCGAGCGCAGCGGACGGCGTTTTGGTCATCCTCGGCCTCCGGGGGCCCCCACCGGGCCTTCCAGGACTGTCACAGACGTTTCGGGATGAAGGAGTCGTCTCTGGGAGGGGGACCAGGCCTCTGGGGAGCCACGCTGGGGGAACAAAAAGGCACGATGCTGGATGTCTGGGGATCGCACCGCATCGCCGCTGCATCGGCGATGCGGCTCGATGTGGAGTCCGAGTTTCTCCTCGCCAATGGCGCCGATGCATCGCCGATGCATCGGCGATGCATTGGCAAAGCGGCGCGGTCCTCCGACCCCATCTACTCGGACACCATCTGCGATCGGCGGCGCGCCCTGGGGGAAGTGAGAAGGGGCGGGCCTTCTCAGAAGGCTCGGAAGTTCCCCGGCCTTTGAGAAGTTGTTCTGAGCCTCCCCCGAAGACAGACAACTCCTCAGAAGGCCGGCGGGCTTCTGAAACGCTCCGCCGCCTCTTGAGAGGGCCTCCTCCTCCTCCTCACTTCCCCACTCGCTCGCCGCTGGTCTTGGGACCCTTGACAGGCTTCGGGGCCGTAGACAAACGACTCAGGATGAGAAGTCGGTCCCAGGGAATGGGTCGAGACCATGGGAGGATCAATGCTGCTATGAGAAAATCGCGACCTCTGGGGTAAGGGTTGCGTCGGTGCTGCTCGCGGAGCGTAAGGCCGCCCAGATGTCGAGGAACTGTGAGACTCGAGTCGCCAGAACTCGGGTCTGCCTACGCTGCTTGTCGGGCCCGTCCTGACTTCTCACGGTCCTGTGTTCGTGTGATGTTTGCAGCGGGAGATCGCGTTAAATTTCAGATTGGGTTTCGTCATTGTTCTGGCGGTCCCGTCGGGCCAATCCAAGTTCCCCGAACGATCTTACGTCTCCCCGGAATTGGCGTCGAAGTGCGGGAGGCTCAAGTCGCGACACGGCGGCGGCCACGTTTCGGTTTCGAGGTGTTCGGGAGTTTACGTCGATCCTTGGCTGTATTCGAGCCTCGGAATACTTTCCAGCAGCCGCGCCTCGCCGAGGGTGTTGTGGGGGTGCCTGGATCATCCCGAACGGCCGCCAGAGACCCGACTTATGACCCGAACGCCAGGCGGTTTCCAGCGCGGGCATCCAACGTCGAACGCCGGCGGCAGCCAGGAATCGGCCGATATCGAACGATCGGCGGTGTCGGGAAGTTGCGATCGTTCGAGGGTGAGCGATCCACACGGTGTCGGCGAGCAATGTTGGGTCGTCACGACACGAATTTGCGGCAGATGGTTTCGGTGGCCCTTGATCTCCTCGCGTCGTGAAGCGAGCGCAACGGAAGGCGTTTTGGTCATCTTCGGCCTCCGGAGGCCCCCACCAGGTCTTCCAGGACTGTCAAAACATCTCTGGATGAAGGAACCGTCCCTGGGAAGGGGATCAGGCCTCTGGGGAGCCACGCTGGGGGCACAAAAACACGACGCCAAATGTCCGGGAATCGCACCGCCTCACCGTTGCATCGGCGATGCGGATCGATGTGGAGCCCATCGTTCTCCGCGCCGGCGTCGCCGATGCATCGCCGACGCCGCGGACGCATCGCCAGCGCATCGCCGACGCATCGCCGACGAATGCGGCTGCGCATCGACGGTGCGGCACGATGCACCGGCCCCACCCGCTCGGACCCCACCTTTTTGGGCGTGCGGCCCAGGAGCAGGTCCTGCGCTCCGACTCCGTGCAGAGCCAGGGCCCCAGGGAGGAGGAGAGAGGAGGAGGAGGAGGAGGAGGAGGAGGAGGAGGAGGAGGAGGAGGAGGAGGAGGAGGAGGAGAAGGAGGAGGAGCAGGAGAAGGAGGAGGAGGAGGAGGAGGAGGAGGAGGAGGGAGGAGGGGAGGAGGATCGAGGAGGAGGGGGAGGAGGAGGAAGCAGGAGGAGGAGCAGGAGGAGGAGGAGGAGGAGGAGGGAGAGCAGCAGGAGGAGGAGAAGGAGGAGGTGGAGGAGAAGGAGGAGGAGGAGGAGGAAGAGGAGAAGGGCGGCTGGTTTCTCGGGACGATCGGCATGGGCACAGAAAGAGTGGGCACGAAGACCGGCAGCAGATCCTGTCCATCTGGAATTGGGTTTGCTGTCGGTGTCGCCGCGGACGTTGTCCGTTTGAGACAGAGGTTCGCCTGCCCAACAGCGGCCGCTGTCGGTGTGCATCGTATTCATCTTTCCGTATCCATCCAGGGCGTCCAAAGTTTCGATTCCATGTTTGGTGTCTTAGGGGGCTGGTTTCGGGCCTCGGGTCTATCAAACATGAACGCATCATGACCACCGTGTAATTAGGGGAAAGTTTCCCACTGCGTGGTCGCGCTGCTTGGCATATTGCTTGGCATATTGGTTGGCCGAGCTTGCCTGGTATAGCTTACTTGGCATCGTGTACTGTGCACTGCGTGGCTATGCTTGGAGTTGCTTAGCATTGTTTCGAATTGCTTGGCATCGCCATGACATCGCTTGGCATTGCGTGGCATTGCTTGGCAAGGAGACCAGGAGCCGAGACCGAGGATTCCAGAAGCCAAGACCAGGATCCAAGTAACCCAAACCAAGGCACCAAGACGAAGGAACCGGGTATCTTGCAACAAAATGTCTGCAGGCTCCCCAAGTCCTCCAGAGCACATCTCTCACGAGGCTCAGAGGGTCCCAGGATGAGGGCCCCAACATGGCGTGCAGAACTAGGGACACCCTGGGCCAGGAACACCTTTCCAGGGGCAGCCTTTGGAGGGCTCGGGGGTGCGGGCGCATCGAGCCCCGGTCGCCCATTCATTGCCGATACACGTTGGTCATTGGAAGTAGGTCTTTTTGATTGCCAGGCCCATATCTACATATAAATAAATAAATAATATATAATATAATATTATATATAGCGCCTTCCTACTTCAAGAATCTATGTGTGTGGCTGTGTTTTGTTGTTCTCTGGGCGGGCCCGAACCCAATCTACTTTATCCGCCTTCCTGCTCCATATTTCTACCTATTCCTTCTGACCGTCACGTGGGGGCCCTATGCCCCATCTTGCCCAAGGGCCGTGCGGATGCGCGCTTGGCCCTATCGCGGACCTGTCGGCGATGTGTTTCCCCAGAAAATACGGAGAATATTAGGAGTGGAGAGGAAAACGAAAACCCCCAAACTATTACGTAGCACCCCGCAGCCCGCCGCAGGCGCCGATTTTTTCTAAAAACCAACGTGGATCGGTCGCGGGTGGGTCGCGGGGTGGGTCGCGGGTGGGTCGCAAGTGGGTCGGGGGTGGGTCGGGGGTGGGTCGCGGGGTGGGTCGGGGGTGGGTCGCGGGGTGGGTCGCAGGGTGGGTCGCGGATGGGTCGCGGGGTGGGTCGCGGGTGGGTCGCGGGTGGGTCGCGCGGTGGGTCGTGGGGTTGGGTCGCGGATTGGGTCGCGGGTGGGTCGCGGGGTGGGTCGCGAGTGGGTCGCGGGTGGGACGACGACAACAACAAACAGCAACAACAACAATCAGTTTAGAATTGTTCGCTCTCACTGGCACGCGTGTCTTGCATTCTCCATACCCCAACCCTCGATACCCGCCCACTTCTTCTTCGATTGCACCTCCTTTCCGGGGGGAATATCTTCCTTATCGCCCAGGCCACTGACTGAAGTGCGAGGAAGTCTCGAGCGAGAGCGCCGTTCCTTAATTCGGGGTCATCTCTGGCCAGGGGCTCTCGAAATATCCATGAAGAAATATTAAACGGGAACCCTTATCGCCGTGTCTGGGCCTCCACCAACTTGCTTGAATTACGTGAAGGTCTCGAGCGAGAGCGCCGTTCCTGAGTTCGGGAAACTTCCTGGCCAGAGGCTCTCGGAGTAAATCGTGAGGAAGTATCGAGTACGAGCCCTTGTCGTCGTGGCTGGGCCTCCGCCAACTTAATCGAATTGCGAGGAAGTCTTGAGCGAGAGCGCCGTTCCTGAGTTCGGGGCCTCTCTGGCCAGGGTGTCTCGGGGTAAATTGTGACGAAGTATCGAGCGGGAGCCGTTGTTGTCGCAGCCTGGCCTCCAAGGGCCCACATTTAGGCTCAAGCCAACGTTCGAGCGGGAGTTTCAGAGAAAATGTAGTTGGCGTCGAGGCGAGAGCGCGCGGAACCGTTTCCGGAGATCAACAGTAATTATTTTTAGAAATGAGTATTCACCAACAACAACATCAACAACACCAACACTACCAACAACAACAACACCAACAACAACACCGACGGCAACAACAACAGCAGCAGCAGCAGCAGCAACAACAACAACGCAACAGGCATAATCCTCACCACGGATTCGCACTTCAGCCGCGCACCCAGGGACAGCGAATGACCGTTCGGCCTCCTCACTCTGACAAGATCTGCGGAGCCCTCGGACCTGTGCCTAATGCTTCGTGTGCCCGTGGGCCCCTTGAGTGACGTTGCCCCCCAGGCCAGGAGCACCCCTGGCAGCCCCCCGAAGGTCTGGTACCCGCAGAGCGCCGAGCAGTGGGAGCGGCTGGGGAGCTCGCCCGCCGTCCAGCAGGCCAGGGCCCCGTGCTCACGCCGAGGGCCAAAGTCTAAGCTTCAGTTGGGCCTGTCCCTCTACAGGGGGAGATTCAAAGAGGGACCCAAGATAGTCTAGGGAGGATTATTTTTGAGTATGTTTGACAATTTGTGAGTATTGCTTGGGTACTTTGCATTTTTCGTCCCAAATCCGCCTGGAGGGGGACATGGCCGACCTAAGTCTAGGTCTCCCAGATCGGGTCTGGATAAACGGGGACAGGGGGTCGCGCCGCATCGCCGATGCATCGGCGATGCGGGCTCGACGTGGAGCCCGAGATTGTCGACGCCGACGTCGCCGATGAATCACCGACGTCGTCGATGCATCGTCGATGCATCGGCGACACATTGGCGATGCGGCGCGATCCTTCGACCCCATTCTCTCGGACCCCATCTAGGAGGCCTCTACTCACGCCGAGGGCCAAGGGGGGGGAGAAAATCTCTGAGGGTTCGTTCAAGTCGGTCGGCAAGATGTGCCATGTCTTCTCGTTTAGCTCAAGGTCCAGTTGATTGGGTTTTGCAGTATGGTCGGTCGTTCTCCGAGGGGGGGGGACGATGCCGATGCCACTGCCTGTCGTTTATCTTTTGGGCAGTGCTCAGGGGGGTCACCGCTGGGGGGGGGCGGCACGAGGTCCTTCTGGAAAGAGCGAGGCTCCAGGAAGGAAGCTCGAGGATTGGAGTCGGTCTGGGGGGCGGAGGCTCTGACATTTTCTCGGAGCACCACTCCTTCGAGGAAGCGGCGTTTTCTCGAGGAAGTGGCGACCCCCCCAGTGGTGACCCCCTTTGGCATTGCCCCACTATTCGCTGCTGCTGGATTCGCCTCGAAATTCTGGCCAGAATGCGCCCAGGGAGAGCTCCTCCGGGCAGCCCAGATCCTCGTTTCTCGTCGCCGCGGCTAAACTCGCCCCGAAATCCTGGCCAAAATTCGCTCCAGAATGTCTATGCGCCCCAGATTATTCCTCTTCGCCGCGGCTAGATTCGCTTCGAAGTCCGGGTAAAAGCGCACCCCAGGAGAGGTCCAGGAAGTTCAGATCTTCCACGTAAACTGGACAAACAGTGCTGAGTTTGGTTTGCCGTCTCCGGCTCAGGACGGCCCTCACAAGAACAGTGTTGTTTCAGTATCTTGGGGCCTTCGCAGGCCCCCGGGAGTGACGAACAACAATTTTCGGCTGCACCTAAGAGTGACCCTTCGCCGGAGTGACCTTTGGTGCGGGCTTACCGGGGTCCCCCCGATCGCTGAGCGCGATGCGATAACGGCTGCTTGCGCGCTTGGATGTCTTCTGCGGCCCCTTAGTCCGCGCACTAGAGGTCATCCTTGCCTGGAATCACTCTTGCGTGCAGCCGACCTGCGCTGTCGCAGAGCCACGGTCGGTCAAGGCTGAACGATCCACGCGGTGTTGGAGACCAACGCGCAAGTCGTCACAACACAAACCAGCCGCACCTCCCAGGGACCCCTCTCGGGAGATCATCGATACGATGGGTTCCCCCAGGGGGGTAACCCCCGGGGCTGTCGCGGAGCGCGATCGCAGCGTTCTGCTCTCGGGCGGGCGTCGGTCACGTGGCCCGATCGCCATGTGGCGCTCTAGGTATCTTCCCAGGCATCCGACTGTTTTTCTTCTATCCGCGGCCTCAGCGGTCCCGACCACCTCTACAGGGGCACAGGTTGTCGCCCAGGATCCGTTTTGGGTGACCCCCGGGAACCGAAGACGGCCCAAGACGGCCCCCAGGAGCCGAAATCGGAAGAAGACGCAGGGATCGGCAACGCCAGCAAGCGTGGGGACTGAAGATCGGAGGGAAACGCGGGGATTGACAAGATCAATCCGCCGGGCGAGTGGGTGTCTGTCCCTCAAAGGTCAAGGGCAGCATCGACCCCCAACCGCCTATTGATGGCCAGTAGGGGCCCGACGGCCCCTTCTCGCCCGGTGACGGCCCCCAAAGGCCGAAGCGTGCCAGAGATGTTCCGCCGTGGTTTTCCACACCGCGAGGAGCCAGGCATATCGTCGATGCCAGTTCGACGACGTTCCGCCCCCTGAGACCCCCCCCTTGACGCTCCCCCACCAGCTGATGTCAAGTCGATGCTTGCCCCCTGAGCTGCCCCCCCCCCGTGCCGTTCTTCCTCGCGCGCGTGGCAGCAGAGTGCGATGGACTGCCCGAGTGTTGGGCCAGACGCAGCCCCGACGCAGCCCCGACGCCAGGGGGGTATACGCGAGGGAGGCCTCGCCCTGTGGAGCACCCCGGGGTCGATCTGCTTCCCCCGCGGGCCGGGCCCCCGAGGGCCGCGAGGCCTTGCGGACACGGGCCGCGAGTTTTCGCGGCTGCCCCGCGCAGAGCGTGTCCGGGCGGACTGCATCCGCGAGATCGCGCCCCGGGATCCAGACCGCGACGGCGCGGATTGTGGATGCGTTCGCAGCTCGTGGTCGGCGTCTCCCCCCTCAGCCCCGCCCCCCGCCCCCCATACGCCCCCCCCGCTTTTGAATCGGCAGCGCCGGTGAGCGCAGGCGCGTGGGTCGAGACCGGGGGGCCGCGCCGGGCGCGAGGCGTGAGAGCAAGAGACGATTGCAAAAGCATAGGGCGGCCGCGGAGGAGGCAGGAGGAGGAGGCCCGCCCGGCGAGAGCCCACCGGGGGAGGGGCGCGCAGGCGGCCCCGAGGCACCGCAGACGATGTGCAGCGAGCATCGGAGCAGCGAGAGGGCCATGCCGTCGAAGTGCAGAGAGGACGGCTACCCCGCATCGCCTCGGGCCAGGGGCGCGAGGCCCCCCCCCCCCGAGAGGCGGCCGCGCACGAGGTGCTGGCGCCCCAGGGCTCTGGGCCCGCCGCGCACGAGGCGCAGCCGCACCCAGCCTCGCGGGAGCTGCGCAGCAGGCCGCGGGTGCCCCAAAAGACCACCCAGAGGCACCCAATATGCTCCAAGAGGCCTCTGCGAAGATGCCAAAACGGCCTCGGCGAGGAAGCCCAAATCACTGGTTTTACTAAGGTTTTGGCCCCATGTTGGCCTCTTGGGGGGGGGGGGGCGCTAATGAATGCTCCCCTCTTGTTTGGTCGATCTCCTCCAAGATGCACAGAACCGTGTATGGGTTTAGGAGGTTCCGACCTGCTGCAGCCTTGAGCACCAGAAGGAACTTCGACCACCGGGGAAATGCTGAAAGTGGGAGCTGTTCACGCGTCGGGCCCTCAGAATCGGTACTCGCCCAGCACTTGCCCTATAGGGTGCCAGGCAGACACTGTTTTGTCATGTTTCAGGGGGCTCGAAATTAATTGTGGTCTGTGGTTCTTAAGTACGATGGGAACAACAGAAGCATCGGTGCAGGAGCAGGATAGGGTCGGCGGGTTCGGTGTTCCTTTCGATCGGCCTCCCACCAGTTGCGTGGTTGGGGCTCTGCTTCAGGGCCTGCTCGGCTACAGGCTCGGATTGAAAAACCTGTGGAATTGCATTGCACGCAGCTGGTTTCGAGCGGAGCTACCCGTGACAGTTTTTGCCCAGGCGGGCGCCGCCGTTGCACACACAAACTTGCATCGACCCCCCCCGCGTCGTGACAACATCACGACGGAAAGTTGTGTGCTGTTTTCGGCGTCCAAGGGCCTTTCCTGGGCCCCGGGACCGTCAAAAAACAATTCGGGATGGACAAGTGGCCCCATAAATGGGTTGAGACTTGTTTGGCGGTCGACGTTTTGAAAAAAGCATGACGTTGGAGATCTGGCAAGGTAGCGATACTGCTACGCGTGTCTCGGTTTCGCCTTGTTGGAGCTCCTTGGAGGCTCTGGTTGCCACGTCTGGATTCCCTTCAGAATGCTAGTCAGAACGCACCTCAGTACCTTCTCGTCCCCCCGCAACGCCAGGGGGCGCTGTGCAAAGTCCAACCGCGCACTTTGGCACTTGTCAGCACATATCTCCCCGCGTCATCAAAAAGTCACGCGGAACGGTTTTTTAGATTGTCGGCCTATGGGGCCTCGATGGGCCCTGGGACCGTTCACAAACGACTCGGGATGGAACACCAGTCCTGGGAAGGCTTCGACATTTCTGTGGGCGCACCTTTCGTTATATTTAGATAAATGCATATGTATTCACACGTATGTGTGTACATACTACACTGATAAACACACACATGGACAGGCACATGTGTATGTTTTATCCATACATCCGCACATACATTCACACATGCATGCATACATGCATGCGTACGTACGTACATCAATACATACATACATTCATATTCACAGTCATACATACATACATGCATACATACATACTTAACGCAAGTGTATGTTCAAGTACTGACACGCACACCCATACATCTACAGTTATATATAGATGGTGATCACAGGATGGCTCCGGAGCGGGTCATAGTGTGTTTCCATATGTATAACGTGCAGGCCCATCTCACCAAGGAGCATTGGCCAGGCCAGAATCTGTGCTGGCCAGCGCACGTGCTGCCCGAGCCCTCATGTTCACTACATTCTCTGTGCCAGCATAGCTGACTTGACATGCCAGTTTGTGTTCCCAGTCGTGGGCCGCTCTTGGCCGATCTGGGGCGATCTTGGGCGCCTCTTGGGCCGCGTTGGGTGCTCTGCTCTGAAGACCGAAAAGGCGGTAGTGCGGAAACCATGCGGAAACCACGGATTTCGATGATGTTGGCCTCTTGGGCCGCCCCACAGGGCCTCCAAGACGGCCCAAGAGGCGCCCAAGAGGGCTCCAGGAAGGTCTCCAGGGCCGTCTGAACCCACATTGGGCACGCACGTCCCCGACCAACGCGCTCTTGGCCTCTCGAAGCCACGCGGGGACCCTTCTTAAGAGCGCCTGGGGGCGCCGGGAACTCCAGACGGTGGGCCCCTCAAACAACATGTCCAAAGGTCATTGCAGAGTATATACATGATTCCATACAGAGAATCCGAAGGAACCTAGGGACGTTCCAACTCGTGCCTCAGGGCGTGGTGGTGAATATATATATATATATATATATATGTACACAACTGTTTGGATCCGTAGACATGTCTGTATATGTGTATAGAGATCGATGTATGTATGCGTACTTATGTACGTGTGTATGCATGGATGCACGCATGCATGTAATTATGTATGTGTGCATGTATGTATGTATATGTGGATGCATGCATGTCTGCATGTATATATGTGCCTTGCATGTGTGGATGCACGCATGTATGGATATGTATGTATGTGTGTATGTATGTTAGTAGACAGTTATGTGTGCTTGCGTGCATATATGTATGTATGGAATGTATGATTGTTTGGATGTGAATCGATGAATGTATGTCTTCTTGCGTGCATGCTGCTTGTTATGGATGATTGGTTCTATGTACGTATGTATGCAATAGTGTATGTATGTGTGTGTATGTATGTACATACGCTTTTGTGTATGCATGGCGATATGGTTGTATGCTTGTATGTGTGCATGAATGTGTGCATGGGTATGGCTGCCTGCCTGTGTCCCTGTTTGTATGTATGTTTGCATGCATGCATGTATGTATGTATACACGTGTGCTGATGTAGGTGGAGGTGTGCTTGTGTATATGCATATGTATATATGTATATATATGTATGTATATATATATATGTATGTATAGATACGGTTGAACATATTGTGTGTATGCATGTGTGTATGCAAATATGCATGTATGCATGTATGCATGTATGTATGTATGTATGTATGTATGTATGTATGTATGTATGTACGTATGTATGTATGTATGTATGTATGCATGTGTATGCATGTATGTGTGTATGCATGTGTGGATGGATGGATGGATGGGTGGACGGATGGATGTTTGTGTATATATATATATATGTACATAGAGAAATCGGCATGGGGTGCGCGGCGAAACGGGGGGCGCTTAGCAGCTAGCACACAACAAATCACATTGCTTCACTCTGCACCTGTCGTGGGCAACGGTAAGGGGGGGACAGGCGAAGGGGGGGCGACCAGGTCGAGGTTCTTGGCTTCCGGGCGGTTTCGTTCGTTCACTGCGGTTTCCCAGCCTCAGGGTGCCTTCCAGCGGCTGCGCCTCGCCGAGGGAGTTCCGGGCTTTCCCGGATCGTCCTGGACTGCCGCTGGAGTCCCGAGTTCTGGCCCGAAAACCATCGGGGACGAGGAGTGGTTCAGGGGAGGATGCATCGACCCTTCAATCGCCCACTGATCGCTGATAGGGGCTGGAAATCCCGCCCCGCTCGGGGACGTGCGGATTCGTAATCTGGGGGCCATCGCTGAGCTATCGGCGACGCATCGCCGCTGCCAGGTCGATGCCTCCCCCCTCTGAACGGGCCCTCCTGATCGCTCCCCCTCAACACAGATTCCAGCCGCGCCGTTTGGCACCCAGCCCGCCAGCGTTCGGCACCCAGGATTAGCGCCAGTGGGGCTCAAATGAGGCCCACGGGCGTCGTCGGAGCATCACGGTCGCTGCAATTGACAATCGAAGATATGCGTCGCTCTGGGCATGCGTACCGTGTCCGGGCTGGTCCGTGGTCGGCGCCCTCCCTCGCCAGGGCAGCGATCCTGCGACGGTCGAGGATTCTTTGCGTTTTCTGTCTCTGGGCTTCTGGGAGGCTTCTCGCCGCCGCGGCTAGATCCGCCGCCAAACTTCGCCGCCGCGGCTAGATCCGCCGCCAAACTTTGGGCCCGAACGCGCCGCAGGACTGCGTCAGGGGGTCCATCATCATGCGCTGGTCGTAAAACGTATGTATGTTTGGATTCCCTGATCCCAATCTACTTCAAGCGCCTTCCTACTTCAAGCATCGGCATGGCTCTGATGTGTTTTATTATTGGCCGGGAGGGCCTGGACCCAATGTACTTCAGCCGCCGTCCTACTTCATGCATTTACCCACTTCTTCCGACCGACGTGCAGCTCCTGGATCCAAGCCCCGTCGCGCCCGTGAAAAATACGACTGGCCTTTCTTGCAGCTTTCAGCCTCTGCGGGGGTCCCCACCAGGACCCCGGGGCCGTCGAGAAACGGCCCGGGGCGAAAAGCTTGGGGAACCGTCGAGACATTCGGGGTGGGCGTCCACTCCGCGCCACAATCCCACACTCGCGGCACCGGGGGCCTGGCGTCTGGCCCGGGCTCGGCCTGGCCAGGACTGCAGTGATCGGTGTGCCAGGGACGCCGGATACACCCTGGCGCTCCAGAGGGGGCGCCGCCTCGCCCTCAGCGGAGGGCTGGCAGAAGCCGGGGAAGTAAGAAGGCGATGGGCGGCCCACCGCAAGACCTCCATCGTGACGACTCTCGGCGTCGGAGGAGGGAGGCAGCATGCAGTGAAACGGGAGTGGGCCTCGGCGGAGAGGGCCAGCGGAAGTAAAATCAGGAGCCATGCATAACACCAGACCTCGTCTCGATGGATCCTGGATCAAATCAGGGGTTGAACCAGACCCTGTCTCGATGGATAATGGATTAAACCATGGATTAAACCTGTCTCCATAGATTAGTTCCGTCGGACCATGGGTTAAACCATGAACCCGCGAAACTAATTTTGGATATTGTTTCGGCCCACGGCTGCAGTTGTCGCGGACGCGGCCCAACGTCCCTGTGTGTCTGTGCCGTCTGACGACGGGGCCCCGGTAAGAGTCCGCCTCCAGGAGATGGCAACTTCTGCGGATGCATGGCTCCCAGAGTCGGGCACACGCGGCGGCCAATGTGGGCGAGAGATGGACACACGCGTGGCGGCATGTCTTGCTTGCGCAGGGCCTTCCTAGGGAAGGGCACGCTGGATCCAGCGCGCGTTTTTCTTGTTTGCTTTAACCTGGACATCCGACGAGGTGTCTTTTTGTCCTGTCCGCGGCCGCCGAATTCCCGACCACTTCCCGGGGATCCTGGTTCCGTACCAGATCCGTGTTTCATGGCTCCGGGGCCCGAAAGC